AGGCTACCAATAGCTGCTTGCATAAAATTCAAGGCATTAATGTTTGCCTACAAAACCACCACTGGCTCTGCACCCCTTTACCTAAATTCATTACTTCAGACTTGTGCCCTCTAGAAGCTTGCGTTCTGCAAGTGAACGTCGCTTTATTGTGTCATCCCAAAGAGGTACAAAATCACTTTTAGACTTTTAAATTAAATGTTCCCTCCTGGTGGAATAATCTGCCCAACTCAGTCCGAGCAGCTGAGTCCTTAGCCATCTTCAAGAATCGGCTAAAAAACACATATTTTCCGTCTTTATTTGACCCTCTAACTCTAGCACTCTCTATTATAATTCTATTCTTTATAGAAAAAAACTTGCCCCTTTTAGAATTGCACTCTATTTATTTACTAACTGCTTGTTTTCTTAAAAAAGAAAAAATAACACTTGCTCTATTCTTTTTCTATTCTATCTGTTTTTTTATTTATTATATGATTTAAAAAAAAACTTGCTACATGTACTGCATTAAGCTAACTGAGACTCATTGCTCTTTTGTTGATTTTGATTGCTTCCATTGTCCTCATTTGTAAGTCGCTTTGGATAAAAGTGTCTGCTAAATGTCTAAATGTACATGTACATATTAAATCCATATTTTGAGAAAATGAAAGCATTTTTTGACCTTACATGCATGTAAACCTATTGTAGGAGACTCCCAAAACAATATTAGTAACCCTAAAAATGGCATAATAGGGGCACTTTAATTAATCAGCATTAATTAATAATGATTACCAAGGCTTCTCAACTCTGGCCCTCGAGGTCCACTTTCCTGCAGAGTTTAGCTCTAACCTTGATCAAACTCACTGCCTGTAACTCTCTAGTAATCCTGAAGACCTTGATTGGCTTGTTCAGGTGTGTTTGATTAGGGTTGGAGCTAAACTCTGCTGGAAAGTGGACCTCGAGGGCCAGAGTTGAGAATCTCTGATGTATACCATAGTTAATAGGCAGTCGATGCAGAGTTGACAGAACCGAGCTAATATGGTCTTACCTCTTGGTTCTAGTAAATACTCTAGCTGCTGCATTTTGGACCAATTGAAGATTGTTTAATTAGGGTGGCCATATGTGCCGTTCATACAGGACACATCCTGGCCAGGATTGTTATATTGCCTAAAACATCCAAAGTAGTTTGACCAATAACATGCAGGTATTGTATATAATCGACCAATCGTGGGTGAGATCTACAGAGAACGATCAAAGCGATGCAAATGCGCGCACGTGTTTGTTCGTTCGTTCGACTTGAAGCGTTGCTGCGCACCGATCATTGAATGACACCAAAGTACCACGAGAGCGATTGGAAAGCATAAGGAGCCGTCTGCTCTGCTCTCTATAGCTCTCGTGAATGTCATACAACGATCGATCTGCACAGCCAAAACCTGGATATTTTAGGCAATATAGAAATCCTGGCAAGGACGCAGCCCATAAAAATGGCCCGTATGGTCACCCTAGTTCAGTAAGCCTGCAGGGCAAGTACCAAGTAATTGGTGGCTTTCAGTGTGCTTTCAAATGACAGATTGCTGTCAATTAGCACTCCCAGGTTCCTAACTGATGACTAAGACTTGATAGAGCATCCATCAAGAGTCAAACAGTAAGTTATTATATGTGGAGATGATTGATTCAATAGTTAAAACCTCTATTTTTTTTCCTAAATTCAGTAGGATCTTATAGTCTACTCCATGTTTCTTAATGATACCTCCAAACGGTAGCATGTGCAGGGTGAAAAGCAAAGGTCCTAGTACTGAGACTTGGGGTACTCCTTCCCGAACTTGTGATCTATATGATATCTCGTCATTTGCTGCTACAAAGTGATAACGGTCAGATAAATATGATTTAAACCATGCCAATGCCATTCCCCTATTGCCAACATAATATCTGGGCCTCTCCAAAAAAAATGTTGTGGCCAGTATAATCAAAAGCAGTCTATGGGCAGGCCAATAAAATTTAAGGGAAGACACACATCAACTGATATGAGGTACAACATTTACGTCTAGATAGATAGATAGATAGATTTCCTATGTGAAAGTAACCTTTAGTAAAATCAATCTGAATTCTTGTATCTATTACTAATGTCTCTATTCTATTGTACTCTGTTTTAAGTCTGTTGCACAGAGACAGATCAAACCCATCAGAGGCAAGCTGTGTGTCCATGAAGAGCGACCAGTCCAGGGGTGTCCAAACTCGGTCCTGGAGGGCCGGTGTCCTGAAGAGTTTAGCTACAACCCCAATTAAACACACCTGAACCAGCTAATCAAGCTCTTACTAGGCATACTAGAAACTTAAAGGCAGGTGTGTTGAGGCAAGTTGGAGCTAAACTCTGCAGGACACTGGCCCTCCAGGACCGAGTTTGGGCAGCCCTGGACCAGTCTATGGGCAAGCCAATAAAATTTAAGGGAAGACAAGCATCAACTGATCTGAGGTGCAGCATTTCTGTCTAAATAGATAGATAGATACTTTGATGCTTAGATTTTTGTATCTATTACTAATATCTCTACTCTATACAACATTTTTGTCTAAATCTGCAGATAGATAAATAGATAGATAGATAGATTTCCTATTTGAAAGTAACCTTTAGTAAAATCAATCTGAATTCTTGTATCTATTATTAATGTCTCTATTCTATTGTACTCTGTTTTAAGTCTGTTGCACAGAGACAGATCAAACCCATCAGAGGCAAGCTGTGTGTCCATGAAGAGCAACCAGTCTATGGGCGAGCCGATAAAATGTAAGGGAAGACACACATCAACTGATCTGAGGTACATTTATGTTTAATTAGACAGACAGACAGATAGATGGACAGATAGATAGATCTTTAATTAAATGTTGTAATCTGTTATGTGAATCTTTATTTATTTATTTTATTTTATTTATGTAATGGCTCTCTACTGGTACAAAGCACATTCAAATCAAATCTGATGAAGAAGTTTCAGTGTCTGCATGAAGGAACAGCAAAACAGGGAAACCCAACATTCCTGAATGAGATCTACACAGAGCTCTACATCACAGAGAGTAAAAGTGGAGAGATCAATAAACAACATGAGGTGAGACAGATTGAGACACAATCCAGGAGAGCAGCAACAGAGGACACACCAATCAAATGCAATGACATCTTTAGACCTTTACCTGGACAAGACAAACCCATCAGAACTGTGCTGACAAAGGGAGTCGCTGGCATTGGAAAATCAGTCTCTGTGCAGAAGTTTATTGTGGACTGGAGTGAAGGGAAAGCAAATCAGGACATCCAGCTCATATTTCCACTTCCTTTCAGAGAGCTCAACTTGATGAAGGACAAAAAACTCAGTCTTTCAGATCTACTTCAGGTTTTGTTTCCTGAAACAAGAGAAATATCCAGTGATGCATATAAAGTTTTCTTCATCTTTGATGGTCTGGATGAGTGTCGTCTGTCTCTGGATTTTCAGAGCAATGTGAGGTTGTGTGATTTAAGTAAATCTGCCACAGTGGATGTGCTACTGACGAACCTCATTGCAGGAAATCTGCTGCCCTCTGCTCTCATCTGGATCACCTCCAGACCAGCAGCAGCTGATCTCATCCCCTCTGAGTGTGTCCATCGAGTGACAGAGGTACGAGGCTTTAATGACCCAAAGAAGGAGGAATACTTCAGAAAGAGAATCAGTGATCAGAGTCTGGCCAACAGAATCATCTCACACCTGAAGTCATCAAGGAGCCTCCACATCATGTGCCACATCCCAGTGTTCTGCTGGATTTCAGCCACTGTTCTAGAGGGAATGTTGGTGAAATCATGGAAAGGAGAGATCCCTAAGACTGTTACTCAAATGTACACATACTTCCTGATCCTTCAGACAAACATTAAACATGAGAAGGACTATGAGAAGAAAGTGAAAGATGAAGACATGATCCTCAAACTGGGGAAACTGGCTTTTCAGCAGCTTGTGAAAGGCAACTTGATCTTCTATGACGAAGACCTGAGCGAGTGTGGCATTGATGTGACAGAAGCATCTGTATACTCAGGATTGTGCACACAGATCTTCAGAGAGGAATTTGGCTTGTATCAGGGGAAGGTCTTCTGCTTCGTTCATCTGAGCATTCAGGAACATCTAGCAGCACTATATGCGCACCTCTCCTTTACAGAATACATAAATGTGTTCGACCAAGCCACCGAACAAAATACCTTCTCTAAGGTCTTAAACTGGATGAAAAATAATTCATTATCTGGCCTACATCAGACAGCTGTGGATGAAGCTTTACAGAGTAAGAATGGACATCTGGACCTTTTCCTGCGTTTTCTTCTGGGTCTCTCAGTGGAGTCTAATCAGACTCTCTTACAAGAACTAATAACACAGACAGGAAGCTTCTCCAACAATAAAAAGGAAACAGCTGAATACATCAAACAGAAGATCAGGGAGAATCCCTCTCCAGAGAGATGTATCAATCTGTTCCACTGTCTGAATGAACTGGGCGATAATTCACTAATGCAGGAGATCCAGGATTATCTGAGATCTGGAAAAATAAATCAAATCAAACTCTCTTCTTCACAGTGGTCAGCTCTGGTTTTTGTGTTGCTGACATCAGAGCAGAAGATGGAAAAGTTTGATCTAAAAAATTTTATGGGAGCACAAAATACAGCAGATGAAGTTCTTCAGAAACTGCTGCCTGTGATTAAAGAATCCAGATCAGCTCAGTAAGTAAAACTGTCATCAATCACTACAATATTAAAACATTACCTATATCAGACAATCACAAGTCTGCGTTAAATACAGGTGTAAGCGGGGTCTAAAACATTTTGTGATCGGCTTACTGAAACCACATATGGAGGTAGTCAGAAAAACATTACTATTGAAATTGCAACAGCCCTCGTCATCCTTTTCATTAGTTTCCTTTTCCGTTCGCTCATAAACCATGTAACATGGGCTGCATCTAAAAAATGAAAATTTTAGAAATTTAGAAAACACTTTTTATACAAGCAAATGCATTTAAAATCCAGTGTGCCATCTGATGTAAAGAAATTAAGAAAATTGTATGTGTATCCACTACCCAACCAGGAACATTTTCTATACAGAAATATATACTGCAAGCATAGGGACACTTGACTCTAGAAAAGTGGATTCAAACAGTATTCGTTACGTGCTTTACTGTCTATTTGAATTATTTGTATTTTGCAAAGTTTTCACATTGTTTTCTTTAACTGCACCTGGTATCAGTTCATCACTCACATTCATTCATCTCTACAGATTGTGTAGGTGTGGTGTCACAGATAAAGGTTGCGCTGTACTGGCTACAGCTCTAAGCTCAAACCCCTCACACCTGAGAGATCTGAATCTGTCTGGAAATAAACTACAAGATGCAGGAGTGAAGCTGATCTCAGATGGACTGATGGATCCTCACTGTAACGTGGAAACACTGCAGTAAGTTTGTATAAAAGTATCATCCTTCTTGCCCACCTACTGGGATTAAATGAATAATAAAATACATTTAAAAGAAAAAAAATTGAAAAGTCTAAAAAGTGTCCTGTCAGATAACTAAAGATGATGCTGTTTTGATCTTAATTAGGTGCTTTACAAGGTGTCTGACACAATTTACGTACAATCTTCGATGATAATATAAACATAATTGGATAATGCATGAAAATTATATTTATTATGCTCATATTGAAATGAACACTATCAAGCACCCATTTAGAAAAAAAGAGACTACTTAATGAAATTAGGTCCAGTCTAAAGTGCAAGTCTCTCTATTTGATTGTGAAATTCCTGCTGATCTGAGTTGTATATCCAGAAATAAGAGACTGACAAGTGTCAACTGTTCTCTAAAGGTTGAGTGATTGTGGTGTCACAGATGAAGGTTGTGCTGCTCTGGCTTCAGCTCTAAGATCAAACCCCTCACACCTGAGCTATTTGGACCTAACTGGAAATAAACTAAAAGATCTAGGAATTAATCTGATCTCTTCTATACTGGATGATCCTCGCTGTAAAATGAAAACACTGCGGTAAGATATATATCTATATATATAAATGTCAGCAACCTCCTCCATTTTTCTCCTATTGTGAATGATGAAATTATCACACAATTAAAACAAAAACTGAAAGTGAAGAATGTCATTGTTCTTTACAGGTTGATTGATTGTGGTGCCACAGATAAAGGCTGTGCTGTTCTGGTTTCAGCTCTGAGATCAAACCCCTCACACCTGAGAGAACTGAATATGTCTGGAAATAAACTAGGACCATCAGGAGTGAAATTGCTCTCTAATGGACTGGAGGACCCTCACTGTAATCTGGAGATACTGTGGTAAATCATCTCTCTAAGAGTCATACACATTGTTACTTAGTAAGAAATATTCACTAAGAGATTATAGCTCTGACAAGGATGTAGGAGGCAATCTGTAGTACAAAATATGCGCCACACACACACAAGAGAGAGAGTCTTGTTTTTTCTTAGAGATGTTGTTAAGGTGATAATATAATGTTCCACAAACGTGTGGTTCGGGAGTTTGCAGTCAAGTGTGGTTCCAGACATGATTATTGGCTTTCAAAGACAAGGAGTCTATAGCTGAATAGCATTTCTGTCTGTAAAAGCATACTATATGAATAACATATCTCTGTGTTATAGCATATCTCTGTTTTATTTGAAAAACAGAGTTGAAAATAGATATGTATATATATATATAGAGAGAGAGAGAGAGAGATCCTATAAATACGACAGATAGTGAACCAGGACTCTGATTCCAATTGAATACTGATTGTGCATTATCTTGATTATCTAAAATATAAAACTAGCACAGCTATGTAGAAAATTTGTAGCCTTTGTCAACTTTGTCAACAATTGAAAAATGCATTTATATACATTAGGGGTGTGACGAGACACTTATCCCACGAGACTAGACACGAGACTGGGTATTGTTACCAAATTCGGTGTTTTAGCATGTCTAATTATTTGAATGCATAAAACAACTGAATTTATTCATTTTTTTTCTTAAAGTAGCCTAATGAATTTTTTTCCCCCTCAGAAATTCTGTATTGTATACTTACATTTTTTCTGGTTATCAAATGAAGGCATAAAACATTAAGTTAATTTATCATTTATGTTTTAATTATTGAAATGAAAAATAGTTATAGGCACAATGTCTTTAAATGAAACCGGACTTTTATTTTGATGGGTTGCCGTGAATACCTTTACAGTTCTGTGTATGAGATATGACGCTAGTTTTACTCAAATCAAACGCTAAAATGCTCATGAAGTGACTCTCAGAGCAGTTCTGGAGATGTTGTTCATGTGTTTACGACCTCATTTAGTGAGACGGCAGACGCTGAAATCACCGCGAGTGTCAGGCGTGCTTCAGTATATGTGTAGTAAATGAAACCGCGCGTCTGCGCCATTTATAAACAGAGACTGGCAGAACATGCAGGATTCATATTTAAATCGACTTTTGCAGCTTAATATTTACAGATACTAGTCCATATCGTGATTTGATTTAAGAGTAATTACCTACTTTTGATTAATTCATTCAAAATTTGACAAATTCCGTGACATTCCGCGTTAAACTGTGAATTCTGTTTTTATGACTGGATAAAGACTACACTGCATAATTTTCCCGCTTATCATGCAGCCACTTGCCTGATGTGAACACAAAATATCTTACGTACCACCACTTGTGAACGAGCCAGTGTAATGCAAATACATCTGAAAGATCTGCGCGAGGATATGGTCACATTCTCGCGAGACCAGTCAGATCTCGCGAGACACATCGGATCTCGTCACACCCCTAATATACATATAATAACTGCATATATCTACAATATTTATTGATTAATATCTTACTGAAGTTCCCTATCTGTCACTTACTCAACATTGTATCGATGTAGTGACACTAGGGGTCACATATATGAGCCCCAAACACCTCTGATACTTCAGAAAAGGCCAATGAGAATTGGCAAGTGGAATTTGCATGCCGCTTTCCTGAACATATGGGTATAGAAGGAGATGACTTGCTCCTTCTCTTTGGAGCCGAGTAGTCAGCTATAGTAGTGATTACATTTTCATTCATCTCTGAACTACTCTATTGGATTATGGCGCATTTCAGCAGTCTCTCTGTTTGTGCACAATTAAATGCGGAGAGCTCCCCTGGGCACTTCAGCAGTGTGAGAAAAGAGCAAATTTTAATTTCATTGTGGTCATGACTTTCTTTCCTCTTTAGAGGGAAAGTCATCATAATGCGGTGGCAAATGCTGAGGGCATCTGGGGGAATCAATGGAAGTGTTCCCACCTGGTGAATCCCCACAGCCTCACATTTCATATTTCTTCTGGTGGAGTTTGTGGACTTAATTTCTCATTCGGTGCAGATGATCTGTCGATTGCAGCATTAAGGCTTATGCCTTCTGACACAGAGGACTCACCTGGGCCCACACCATCTGGTGTGGTTGCTCATTCTGAGTCTGACGCCAAGATATCACCCATGCTTGCCTGGGCAGCTGCAAACATCGGACTAGAGTAGATTCCTCTGCTCTGCCCTGCCCTGAGAGTTCACGGCTGGATGATTGGTTTCTGGGTTCAGAGTGCAGCACACAACCGCGTTCATCAAAGTGCATGTTCACAAAATCAGGAATGAATGAATGAATGATGCATTTATATAGCGCTTTATTGTGTATTGTTGTACACCCAAAGCGCTTTACAATCATGTGGGGGGGGGGTTATCTCCTCAACCACCACCAGTGTGCAGCATTCACTTGGATGATGCGACGGCAGCCACAGGACAGCGGCGCCAGTGCGCTCACCACACACCAGCTACAGGTGGAGAGGAGAGAGAGTCATAGAGCCAATCAAGTGAATGGGGATTATTAGGAGGCCATGATTGACAAAGGCCAGGGGGGCAATTTGGCCAAGACACCGGGGTTACACCCCTACTCTTTACGAGAAGTGCCATGGGATTTTTAATGACCACAGAGAGTCAGGACCTCGGTTTAACGTCTCATCCGAAAGACAGTGCTTTTTGACAGTATAGTGTCCCCGTCACTATACTGGGGCGTTAGGACCCACGCAGACTACAGGGTGAGCACCCCCTGCTGGCCTCACTAACACCTCTTCCAACAGCAACCTAGTTTTCCCAGGAGGTCTCCCATCCAGGTACTAACCAGGCTCAGCCCTGCTTAGCTTCAGTGGGCAACCAGTCTTGGGCTGCAGGGTGATATGGCTGTGGCCACCTGAAGGCACCTTTCTATTCCATGGAACACTTCATGAGTTCTTCTGCTCTCACTACTCGTCCAGGGTGGGTTGACAAAGGGGGTACTCAGAGGTTCCGCAGTTTGAGCACACAAACTGCAATACATCTGTACTCACAAAACGCTGCCACCTGGAGGAACTGTCCGAGGCTTCCGTCTAAAATCTGTAAATTTACCTCATCCATGATGACGAGGGCTTACAGTGCTGCTAGGGGGATGCAGAGAAAATCCGCTTCCTCAACGGTACGATACCAGAATCTAATACTTCGGTATTGATACTAAATCGATACCATAGGTGACAAATAAGCAGACTCAAAAGATAACTGAAATAAAAACTATTTTATTATGAACACTGCATGAAACTCTGCAGTAACAAATGTTTTGAATGTTTATTTTTTAACTATTATTGAATTATAAAGTACAATCTTCCTATAAAAAGTAACACTTTACATAGAACAAGTGGCACATGTCACAAATCCATCCGTTTCCTCAGTGCCAAATTCCTCAGCTCCACCCACTCGTTCACAGTCCCCTGAATTCTAACCACCTGCACCTGTTGTCACTCATTATGGATTCATATACTGTATATACAAGTCACTTGAATCACCACATTGTCTGGTCTCGTCACTCATGCAAGAGAAAGACTTACCTGCCTTTGCCTTCGGCTCCTCTGATCCCCTCTGCAGTCCACCATACCTGTGGAAAGAAGTATACTTGCCTTACGTTTCTGTGTTTCTTGTTTGAAGCTCCTCATTAAAGTTTTGTGTTGAATTTCCCTACCGTCTTTTCTATTCCGTTTATGACAGTAGATCTATTAGTTTGCATTTACTCTCTAAGACTTAATGGACAATTCTGTATTGACATACAGTATCAGTTTTTTGTCCCGTCTATTGCTTATCACTGTCAATCATCACAGTTTCTGATTCAATCCACAATTTAAATAAGGTTGTCAATCCAGAAACTTTGCAAAGTGCAGTTAGCAGTATATTATGTACAAAAAGCAAGCAAGCAAAGAGCATTCCCATTGTAATCGCTGAAGCTCAGTGCTCATAATAATCAATGAAGCTGACAATACTGCATGACTTATTTATATCATATTGTTTTTTTTTTATAATCAAAGGATTCGTGAACATATTTGGCTAAACCCAATAAGCTTGCTTCAAACAAATTCCAGTGTTTTCAGCAATGTTGCATGGATTCAGACCAACTTAAACACATCTGATTAGCCATTGCGTTCACATGCAAAACGGATATGTCCGTGATTGGCTACAATGCTGAACACTGCAAAAACATGTTGTAAATAGAAACCTTTGATGCTCTTCACAGAGTGCTTACACAAAAATACACAGGTGCATTAACATTATATCGATATTCACAACATTCTCTTATTTATATAATCAGCACAATTATTGTGTAGAGTGAGTTTTATCTGTTTGATCCATCTTGTTCCACTGTTGTCGCATTTGTCAGTTTAGCATCAGTTTGGGTAACACTGCCGCATAGCAGTGAACTTTGGAACAACAGCGTATGAAGTACCAAATGAGCAAAGTTCATGATTTTGTACCGTTTGAAAAATAATATGTACTGGTAATTTTCCAGTACCAGTATATCACGCAACCCTGCCCCCATCTCACATGGGCGACCTCTTCGGCGACATTGTTGGGGATTTCACTCATCAGTTCTCAGCAGTGCAGAGGCAGAGATTAAACCTGACCACAGTGCTCCTGCTACTTAAAATAAGTATTTAAAATTCTAAAATATTATTCGTACTATAATATAATAAATCAACTCTAGCATGGGCGTAGAATATGCGGGGGACGTGGGGGACTTTTCATAACCTCCCACTTTTCATAAAACATAAATTTGTCCCCCACACTTTTTTCGAGCAAGTGTTTTCACATAGAGGTTTTCAAGGGCCAGTGTGAATAAATCCAGATTAAAAATCCTAGGAAACAAGATAGTCTATGCATGACCTGACGTTTCATTCGTATCCAAAATGAGGCAATGTGAAGGTTATAGAGTGCTAAACACTCTCATGCAGTGTGTTTCATTCATAATTGAAGCCGAAGGGCG